ACAATGACAATGACAATGACAATGACAATGACAATGACAATGACAATCACAATGAAAATGACAATGACAGTGACAATGATAATGACAATAACAATGATAATGACAATGACAATGATAATGACAATGACATATCAAATATAGCTATTTAAAATATATATAATTCAAAAATAGAATTTAAGCTATTATGTTCACAATATGTAGTAATGCCAATGATAATGCTAATTATAATATAAATAATTCTATTAATGAAGATAAGGATAGCAAGAATGTCTAATGGTTTCGTAAGGCCGTTTGTTATCAGTTCTGCTTTACAGCACTTTGAATCTATTTTGACTGAATTTACTAAAAACTAATGAAGTACTAGAAATATTTTATTATATTGTATATTATTATAATATTGCTCACATTGAAATTAGTATTTTCATACATTTTCTCCTCACACAAATGAAAGTATTTGCCATTTTAGCGTCGCCTTCGCATCGCTTCCGTTGTTGGGGCTGGCTGATGGCTGTTCTTGTTTTATCTGCTTGTTACAAAATCAATTTTCCACAAATTAATGAGAGTCGCATTTTTTCCGTGTTACTCTTTTCTTTGGGCTCCGACCGCGTAAGAAGAAAAAAAAAAAAAAATTGAAAAAACCGTCGACGAGCGAACGTGAAGGCTGATGTTGTGGCAGATGCAGTCGAAGCTGTGGCAACTTTTTAAAAAAGGATTCTTCCCAGCAAAGTTGCTGCTGCTGCTGCTGTTGCTGCTGCTGCTGTTGCTGCTGCTGCTGCTGCGTTTCTGCACAAGATAAAAATATTTTTTAATGTTTTCTTGAGCACAGAAAATAATTTAAGGAATGTCACGTTGTTGCGAGCTGCTCTCCGGCTCTCCAACTCTCGGGCGCGCTGTACGCTCCTTGTATGCATTGCGCATTTATTTTGGTTCGAATCCATCGCTCCCATCCCATCCCGTCCCGTCCCGTCCCGTCCCGTCCCATTCCATCCGCTTGGCGGGGCCTTTGGCATGGAATAAAAGAATTTCTTATATAGCAACAACTGCTGCATAGCATACATACATCTGTCTGTCTGCTCCGTTTGGCCCCCAATCCCCCCAACCCACCCCTCTGTTGAGCTTAGCACTCTATGCATATCCATGAGATTGCAACGCGGCGGCAAGGAGCACAACTTGGCGGCAACAATGATGGCAAGGGCAGCGATAAATGTTCTGCTTGTTCTTCTGCCGCTGCCGCTGCCGCTGCCGCTGCTTCAGTTTCAGCTTCAGCTTCAGCTTCTTCGTTTTTGATTTTAACTTTTTTTTTTTTTTCTTGATTTTTGTTTTTGTTATTTTGTTTGGCTTTTTTTCATTTGAAAAAATTTTTTACTTAACCCCTTATCACTTGGCCGGGCCGCAGCGCAAAAGAACTAAAAGCCGCCGCCGCACTGCCGTCGCTGTCGCTGTCGCCGTCGCCGTCGCCGTTGCCATTTTCCACACGTTTGTCCGCCGTGACCGTCGCATCCGTCTTAAATTAAAAGCTTTTTTGTCTTTGGCCCAAACATAAGCGACAACAACAACAACAACAACACAAATTACTTTCGAATGTGCCGCCGCCGTTGTCGCCGCCGCAGCTTAATAAAGCGCATTAATGACAATGTCAATATGGTAGGGGCTGAAGCACGCCGTAGCGTGGGAGAGACAGCAGCAGCGACGTCGACAGAGGCAGCGGCAGCAGCAGCGGCAGCACTGTGGTCACATCGGAAGTAGTCAAAAACGGCGTGAGACCAATTTTTTGAATACATATGTCTCTCTCTCTCACTCACTCTCTCTCGCTCTCTCTCTCTCTCTCTCTCTCTCTGTCTCTCTCTCTGTCTTTATTTTGGCCACCTGCTGTAATTGGCAAACGTTGCATCTGCAATTGATTTGCCAAAATGCTAAAACAATTGTTTTTTTCTTCTTCTTCGTCCTCTTTGTATGCACTATGCATAAAAGATCATGATAAGTAATTAGCAACAATTAAGGAATAAAAATCGATGCATCTCATTTTTCGCCTTATTATTAAGATTATTATTAAGGTAATTAATAAAATAATAAATAATAAATAATAAATAATAAATAATAAATAATAAATAATAAATA